ATAAATTTTATAGCTTATGATGAAAAAAGGGGAGAGTTTATAGAGTTTAATGGGGAGTATTTGGGGAGTTTAGGATTTTAAATAAATCAATAAATAAATTAAATAATTAAAAAAAATAATAAAAATGAAAATTGAATTATTTAAATAATGATGTTAGTTGTGTTTAAAAGTTAACGTGGCATTAGAAATATATATAAAAAATTATTCGAACACGATATAGGTTAGTAATAGAAATAGAAATGTTTTTAATGAAGGGTAGATGAAAATTAAAAAAAATAAAAATGAAATTTTAAAACGAGTTTAAAATTATTTATATGATTTTAATGGGTCAAACAAAATATACGTTATCCCGTTCTTATTGTTACTATTATTATTATTATTATTTTGGGTTAACATAAAACAGAATCCGATGCGAAATTTTTTTTTTTTTTAACGTTGGCAATAATAGTTTTTTGTTTTTTTTTTTTTTTTTTTTTTTTTTGTAAATTTCATTTCTTTTCTTTTATTATTATCAAAATAATAAAAACAAAAAAAAATTTTTTTTTATTTGAAGTTTTTAGTTGTTTATATTTTTTTTTGTTTATTTAATAATTAAACGTAAAAAAATATTATACAACGTTATAATAATAATAATAATAATAATAATAATAATAATAATAATAATATTAATAACGATGCTAATAAATTTTTTTAAAAATTTACGTTTTATTGCTGTTTCTCCCATGGTTTCGCCATTTTTGTTGTTGTGATTCATGGTGGACATCGTGAGGAATTTTTCTTTTTTTTTTTTCAAAAAATAAAAATAAAAAAAAAGTTAAAAAAGTTTTAATTATTCATTATTTGAGAGAGAGAGAGACTCACACCCATATACACACACACAAAGAGAGAGAGAGATCAAAGAAAAGGGAAAGACATGGTTAGAGATAAAGAAAAAAAGGAAACAAAGAGAGAGAGGCAGATAAAAGAAAAGGGCTAGAGAGAGAGAGTCAAATAAAAAAGAAACAGAGAGAGAGAGAGAATGAAACATACACACACACACACCCAGAGAGAGACAGAGACGGAGATAAAGAAAAAGCGAGAGAGAGAAAGAAACACACACACACAGAAACAGAGACAAAGAGAGAGAGAGACATACCCACACACATAAGGGGAGAGAGAGAGATACACACAAATACACATACACAAAAAGAGAGAAAAAGAAAGGAAAAATTTCAATATGGCGTCCAATAGTAGGAAATTTTTAGGTACTGAAAAAAATGCGCAAAGATAAAAAATAAATAAAAAATTAGAAATAAATTGGCCAAGTGTTTCATAATAAAAATATAGGCTCTACTAATCTTCCAACAGGTTCTTTTTTTTACTAAAAGCTTTAAAAAAATGGTTTTTTTGTATTAATATTTCTTTTTTTTTTCGTTTGTATTTATTTATTAAAAAAAAAAAAGCGTGACGGTTAAAAAAAAAAAGTTCCCCCCCCACATAATTCTCATGACGCGAATATAAAAAAAGCTCCCATTAAAAAAAACAAAAAAAAAATGAAAACATCACGGAAAACATTTGTTTTCAATTAATATTTCAAATAATATATGTATATATATATTTTTTCTGTCGGTGTTAAAAAACGTGTCAATTCGTCGTGGCATTAACAGAAATTTAACGTGACCGTAAAAACAAATTTTTTTTTTTTTATTTAAAAAATCACCGCGACATAAGACGTACGATGGCATTTAAAAAAAAAAAAAAAAAAAAAAAAAATTTTTTTTTTGTCGTTTTTATAAACCGGAAATGAATGGATATAAATTATAAAATTGTTTGTTTTTTTAAAAATATTTTTAACGGTTTTAACGTCGTTTGATTAAGTGTTTACTTATTTTTTTTTTTTTTCATTTTACCGACTTTTTTGATTTAAAAGGGGGAGCAAAAAAAATCATCATCGCGAATTTGAACACTTTTCATTAAATTTTGATTTTTTTTCGAATCGGAAAATTTAGTTAGATTGGGATAAATTAAAAATTTTTTAAAAAAAAAGAAGGTAAAAAGAGAGA